AATCTCTGCTATACCCATAAGGAATCTCTGTCATACCCATAAGGAATATCTCATACCCATGAGGAATCTCTGTCATACCCATGAGGAATCTGTCATACCAGTGAGGAATCTCTGTCATACCCGTGATGAATCTCTGCCATTCACGTGAGGAATCTCTGCCAAACCCGTGATGAATCTCTGTCATACCCATAAGGAATATCTCATACCCATGAGGAATCTCTGTCATACCCATGAGGAATCTGTCATACCAGTGAGGAATCTCTGTCATGCCCATAAGGAATCTCTGCTATACCCATAAGAAATCTCTGTCATACCCATAGGGAATCTCTGCCATTCCCGTGAGGAATCTCTGCCAAACCCATGAGGAATCTCTTCCATGCCCATAAGGAATCTGTCATACCCGTGAGGAATCTCTGCCACACCCATGAGGAATGTCTGCCATGCCAATAAGGAATCTCTGCTATACCCATAAGGAATCTCTGTCATACCCATAAGGAATCTCTGTCATATCCATGAAGAATCTCTGCCATACCCATAAAGAATCTGTCATACCCATGAGGAATCTGTCATACCTATAAGGAATCCCTGTCATACCAATAATGAATCTGTCATACCCGTGAGGAATCTCTGCCATACCCATGAGGAATCTGTAATACCCATATGGAATCCCTGTCATATCCATGAGTTATCTGTCATACCCGTAAGGAATCTCTGCCATACCCATGGGGAATCTATGTCATACCATTAAGGAATCTGTCATAGCCATAATGAATCTGTCATACCCATGAGGAATCTGTCATACCCGTGAGGAATCTCTGTCATACCCGTGAGGAATCCCTGTCATACCCATGAGGAATCTCTACCATACCCATGAGGAATCTGTTATACCCATAAGGAATCCCTGTCATACCCGTGAGGAATCTGTGTCATACCCATGAGGAATCTGTCATACCCGTGAGGAATCTCTGCCATTCGCATGAGGAATCTCTGCCATAACCTTCAGGAATCTGTTATACCCATAAGGAATCCCTGTCATACCCGTGAGGAATCTGTGTCATTCCCATGAGGAATCTATGTAACACCCATAAGGAATCTCTGCCATACCCATAATGAATCTCTGCCATACCCATGAGGAATCTGTCATTCCCGTGAGGAATCTCTGCCAATTCCCAGAGGAATCTGTCATACCCATGAGGAATCTCTGTCATACCCATAAGGAATCTCTGCCATACCCATAAGGAATCCCTGTCATACCCATTAAGAATCTCTGTCATACCCATGAGGAATCTCTGTCATACCCATAAGGAATCTCTGCCATACCCATAATAAATCTCTGCCATACCCATGAGGAATCTGTTATACCCATATGGAATCCCTGTCATATCCATGAGTTATCTGTCATACCCGTAAGGAATCTCTGCCATACCCATGGGGAATCTATGTCATACCATTAAGGAATCTGTCATAGCCATAATGAATCTGTCATACCCATGAGGAATCTGTCATACCCGTGAGGAATCTCTGTCATACCCGTGAGGAATCCCTGTCATACCCATGAGGAATCTCTACCATACCCATGAGGAATCTGTTATACCCATAAGGAATCCCTGTCATACCCGTGAGGAATCTGTGTCATACCCATGAGGAATCTGTCATACCCGTGAGGAATCTCTGCCATTCGCATGAGGAATCTCTGCCATAACCTTCAGGAATCTGTTATACCCATAAGGAATCCCTGTCATACCCGTGAGGAATCTGTGTCATTCCCATGAGGAATCTATGTAACACCCATAAGGAATCTCTGCCATACCCATAATGAATCTCTGCCATACCCATGAGGAATCTGTCATTCCCGTGAGGAATCTCTGCCAATTCCCAGAGGAATCTGTCATACCCATGAGGAATCTCTGTCATACCCATAAGGAATCTCTGCCATACCCATAAGGAATCCCTGTCATACCCATTAAGAATCTCTGTCATACCCATGAGGAATCTCTGTCATACCCATAAGGAATCTCTGCCATACCCATAATAAATCTCTGCCATACCCATGAGGAATCTGTTATACCCATAAGGAATCCCTGTCATACCCATAAGGAATCTCTGCCATACCCATAAGGAATCTGTCATACCCATAAGGAATCTCTGCCATACCCATAATGAATCTCTGCCATACCCATGAGGAATCTGTCATTCCCATGAGGAATCGCTGCCAATTCCCAGAGGAATCTGTCATACCCATGAGGAATCTCTGTCATACCCATGAGGAATCTCTGCCATACCCTTCAGGAATCTGCCATACCCATGAGGAATCTCTGTCATACCAATAAGGAATCTCTGCCATACCCTTCAGGACTCTTTCATACCCATGATGAATCTCTGTCATACCCATAAGGAATCTCTGCCATACCCATAAGGAATCTCTGCCATATCCATAAGGAATCTCTGCCATATCCATAAGGAATCTCAGCCATACCCATAAGGAATCTCTGCCATATCCATCAGGAATCTCTGCCATATCCATAAGGAATCTCTGCCATATCCATAAGGAATCTCTGCCATACCCATAAGGAATCTCTGTCATACCCATAAGGAATCTCTGCCATACCCTTCAGGAATCTGTCTTACCCATGAGGAATCTCTGTCATACCCATAAGGAATCTCTGCCATACCCATAAGGAATCTCTGCCATATCCATAAGGAATCTCTGCCATACCCATAAGGAATCTCTGCCATACCCATAATGAATCTCTGCCATACCCATGAGGAATCTGTTATACCCATAAGTAATCCCTGTCATACCCGTGAGGAATCTGTCATTCCCGTGAGGAACCTTTGCCAATTCCCAGAGGAATCTGTCATACCCATGAGAAATCTCTGCCATACCCTTCAGGAATCTGTCATACCCATGAGGAATCTCTGTCATACCAATAAGGAATCTCTGCCAAACCCATAAGGAAACTCTGTCATATCCATGAGGAATCTCTGCCATACCCTTCAGGAATCTGTCATACCCATGAGGAATCTCTGTCATACCAATAAGGAATCTCTGCCATACCCATATGGAATCTCTGCCTTATCCATAAGGAATCTCTGCCATATCCATAAGGAATCTCTGTCATACCCATGAGGAATCTCTGCCATACCCTTCAGGAATCTGCCATATCCATGAGGAATCTCTGTCATACCCATGAGGAATCTCTGTCATACCAATAAGGAATCTCTGCCATACCCATAAGGAATCTCTGCCTTATCCACAAGGAATCTCTGCCATATCCATAAGGAATCTCTGTCATACCCATGAGGAATCTCTGCCATACCCTTCAGGAATCTGCCATACCCATGAGGAATCTCTGTCATACACATAAGGAATCTCTGCCATACCCATAAGGAATCTGCCATATCCATAAGGAATCTCTGCCATATCCATAAGGAATCTCTGCCATATCCATAAGGAATCTCTGCCATACCCGTAAGGAATCTCTGCCATATCCATAAGGAATCTCTGCCATACCCATAAGGAATCTCTGCCATACCCGTAAGAATCTCTGCCATACTCGTGAGGAATCTGTTATACCCGTAAGAATCTCTGCCATACCCGTAAAGAATCTCTGCCATATCCATAAGGAATCTCTACTATACCCGTGAGGAATCTGTTATACCCGTAAGAATCTCTGCCATACCCGTAAGGAATCTCTGCCATACCCATAAGGAACATCTGCTATACCCATGAGGAATCTGTCATACCCGTAAGGAATCTCTGCCATACCTATAAGGAATCTCTTACATACCCATAAGGAATCTCTACCATACCCATGAGGAATCTGTCATACCCATTAGGAATCTCTGCCATACCCGTAAGGAATCGCTACTATACCCTTGAATGAGTGAGTGAGTGAGTATGGTTTTACGCCGCTTTTAGCAATATTCCAGCAAAATCACGGCGGGGGATACCAGCCTATACCCGTGAGGAATCTGTCATACCCGTAAGGAATCTCTGCCATACCCATAAGGAATCTCTTACATACCGATAATGAATCTCTACTATACCCTTGAGGAATCTGTTATACCCGTAAGGAATCTGTCATACCCGTATGGAATCTGTCATACCCATAATGAATCTCTGCCATACCCATGAGGAATCTCTCTGCCATACCCATAAGGAATCACTGTCATACCCGTAAGGAATCTCTGCCATACCTATAATGAATCACTGTCATACCCGTAAGGAATCTCTGCCATACCCATAAGGAATCACTGTCATACCCGTAAGGAATCTCTGCCATACCTATGATGAATCTCTGCCATACCATTAATGAATCTCTGCCATACCCATAAGGAATCCCTGTCATACCGATAATGAATCTCTACTATACCCTTGAGGAATCTGTTATACCCGTAAGGAATCTGTCATACCCGTATGGAATCTGTCATACCCATAATGAATCTCTGCCATACCCATGAGGAATCTCTCTGCCATACCCATAAGGAATCACTGTCATACCCGTAAGGAATCTCTGCCATACCTATAATGAATCACTGTCATACCCGTAAGGAATCTCTGCCATACCCATAATGAATCTCTGCCATACCCATAAGGAATCTCTGTCATACCCATAAGGAACATGTCTTACCCATAAAGAATATCTGCTATACCCATAAGGAACCTGTCTTACCCATATGGAATCTCTGCTATACCCATAAGGAACATGTCTTACCCATGAGGAATCTCTGCTATACCCATACGGAACATGTCTTACCCATAAGGAATCTCTGTCATACCCATAAGGAACATGTCTTACCCATAAGGAATCTCTGCTATACCCATAAGGAACCTAGCTTACCCATCTGGAATCTGGGATGTCCGGATATCCAAGGAGGTGGCATCTCACTGTATCAGATTCACAAATTATCCTTTTAAGGCTACTATAAGTTTAATGCATAATTGAGATGAGGTAATCTCAAATATTCATAGCAGCACAAACAACGTTACGACAGTGTGAAAGTAAAACATTTTATACATTCATGATTTCAATTTCATCCACAAGACATCATTTGGCCATAATTTATATTGATCTATCGGCAACGCCGAACTTCCATCCACCCTGAATGGAGCAAAGCCTAAAGCTAACAAATAGTCTCTAAGTCGTAGTCCATTTGGGCCCGTCTTCTGCCACATCCACTCCATCAGAATCCCTCGAACGTCTATCTGCTGGAAGAACTTAACACCTGAAGTTATCACTTGGTATTCATGTTCCTCAACATCCATCTTGATAAAGGCTCTTTTAAATGGTATATGAGGCACTAAGTCATCAAGGCGAACTGTGTCTATAAAGTTAGGGTCATACACATTAGACGTGTTGACGTTGGAAGGCGCTGTTTTTATACGCGTACCTCCTATGTTCCCAATGTCCTTAACGAAGGACACTTTCTTATAGCTGTCGGAGATTGCTGTGTAAAATATTGTGATTTTGTCAGTGAACCTATTGTCCTGGACAGACTTACAGAACCTGATGACGTTCGCTACAAGAGGGTCCACTGCAACTACCTTCTTACCCATGAGGGCGGCAACGATGGAAAAAGTACCGACGTGGGACCCGATGTCGATGAAGCCCATTTCAGGGTCGCTGCGGAGGTTGTCAATCATCACCTTGACATCAGGCAGATCCCAAAGTCCGTGAAGCTTCAGAGACCCCGAGACCCATTTATCGTCCTTGAGATCGTGGATGTAGATGACAGCATTACCTACCGGGGACTTAAGCATGGTCCGTTTGAGATTCAAACTGCCTGCACAGAACTGGTGAAGCTGGGTCCATCCACTGCCGTTCCACCGGAGAATAGTTGTCTCTGGCCCAGTCTGAACGGGCACTTGCTGACTGACATCCATGACTTTGGGCGACGTAACGAGGGGAATATTTTGTTGATCGCCTAAGTTTGGGTTAGGCACACCGGTCATCTGCAAATTTTGTTGACCAGCCATATTGTTAGGAATTTGTGCTCCTGCCATCTGCATAGTTTGTTGACCACTCGCAGGTATATTTTGTTGTCCAGCCACAGGCATGATTTGTTGACCAGCCACAGGCAGGATTTGTTGATCAGCCGCAGGCATGATTTGTTGACCCGCCATATTGTACGGTCCCTGCATCTGCATATTAGGAGTTGGGTTGGGCTGATACCCCTGAGCGCCGAGCACATTAGGAACAGATCCTTGCTGCATCATGTTTCTTGTCTGAACGAACTGATTAAGAAGTGACATCCTGGAGTTCTGTTGAGCAGGATCCATCTGAGGGGCCTGGACATACTGCAGATTAGGTTGCTGCTGATACGCATTGCCTCGCGGATATTGCATCAACGTCTGGGCCAGAGAGTTGAGAGCCTGGAGATTCATGTTGTGGTTGTTCATATTGACCGGAAGCTGCTGGGGTGGTTGGTTTGGCACACTTGGTACTGCGCTTTGCTGCTGAGACTGTTGCATATTGCCCCCTGGTAAAGGCACAATAGGGGGAGCGTTTGGTATAACTGGAACAGGTTTATGTGACTTTTGTTGAGTCATTTCGGTAATATTTATGTCCAGTTTGGGCGAACTATACATGATTCGTTGAGCACCAAAGGTCAGCATCCCCCCGATAATGATGAAGAAGATAAGGCGGAATGTTCGTTTACCTGGCATCATGACTGATGTCTAGATGCACAAAGAATGAATCTGGACACACAATCCTCACATATGCACCAGCACTAACACGGAAATACTGTCTGGATCAACCTTCAGAGGCACTTTTCTTAGGCAGTGTCTATCTCACCATTCTCGTGTGTCGTCGTCATACGGTGCCCTGAAACAGAACAAACAAGCATAGTACACAGTGTCTTAACAGTGTTATAGTCGCGATGAATCAACAAAGAATGGTTCCAGTAACGCCACATGCAATTAAGCAAACGTCTGAAACCTGCATCACTTCGGGCTTTCCTTACACATTAAGCTGACACACCGTGACATAACTGGAATACTGTTAAAAGCGGCATTAAACCCAAGTCACTCACTCACTTAACCACATGGACACATTGCATTCCCTATGTCCCCTACTCTGGGGCCTCATACCAACTGACAAGACAAGGACATAACAATCTCAAGTTTACAATGGAGTCCCTTTGATACCGTTCCGGATATAACAAGTAATGGGTATGTAGGAATGCCCCACACGTCCTAACAAACCGTCAGGAGGCGCAGAGCCCCCAGGCTAGAGGGAAGAGGTTTCACTAGGCACATGGCATGGCCTTGTTCTGGAATGTTTACGCGTATAATAATAATAATAATAATAATAATAATAATAATAACCAGCCTGACTGTGCCAGGATCACCCAAACCCTCTTTGCTGCATTTTTATTTTAATCTGTTCATCATCATCATCATCATTAGTCTTTGAGTTAACCAAACAGTGTGCATCATGCTTCATCCCCTCCCTGGTGACCCTTCTCCCTGGTGACCATAGACCCGTGAAGATTCCGGGGTAGAATAGGTCTCCAGCAACCCATGCTTGCCATAAAAGGTGACTATGCTTGTCGTAAAAGGCGACTAACGGGATCGGGTGGTCAGGCTCGTTGACTTGGTTGATGCATGTCATCGATCCAAATTGGGTGGATCGATGCTCATGATATCAATCACTGGATTGTCTGGTCCAGACTCGATTATTTACAGATCGCCGTCATATAGCTGGAATATTGCTGAGTGCGGCGTTAAACAACAAACCAACCAACCAACCAACCCTGGTGACCTTACAGTTTCAGCTTCCGAGAAGGGTCTGTTTTGTGACCTTTGACTTCTGCTAAGACGCCTCGGGGGGATTCCGGGTCATAACAGGCCCTCGGCAACCTATGCTTGTCGCAAGAGGAAACTACAGGGAGCGCATGGTCAGGCCCGGTAACGAGGTTGATTGATTGTGGAATGCTTCCGATATCAATCACTGATTCCGTCAAATCACAGGTAGCCGTCATATGGCTTGAATATTGCGGCGTCAAACAACAAACAGTTAAAAGAAATCGTCCGACAAATATCCAGATTATGACGTTTCGGAATAATGATCCCTAACATACACAAGTACGCTATAAACGAAGACCTCTTTGAAGGTAGGCTTCCCAGATTAACGACGTCAGAACTAAACCGTTTATTAATACATAACATCTCTATATTTAAAAGCGTGCAAAATCAGGGTATGAAACTCCCAAAATTTTCAGCCAGACCACAGGACTGGCTAGCTGAAATACTTGCCAGCCCTGACCAAAACCTGCCTGCCCACTATAATCATATGTTTCTAAGGATAATTTAATTAAAACTTTAAATTGAATTCATTGAACATGAAGTAATACAAGAAAAGAAATAGCAAACACTTTTTAGGTCAGATTTGTATTTAATATGCTAGAATACATCATGTAAATAATGCTTATCATCGGGAAATATTTAGAATATTTTTACATAATTATGAAATATAACCCGACCGTCGGGCAGGGGGATTTGAAAATCTGGCAGCCCGAGTTGAAATCAACCCGTCTCGGACCATTCGTGACCAACTCTTGTTATTCCGGGACAAGCCGAATAGCGACTCGTGCCCCTCTCGTGGCCATTTTTGCGACCGGGTTCCGTCTTAGCGCAAACGGGCATAACTAAAACAATTGTCAATTCGTTGCGTAATGGTTCACATATATTTCCCCATATATTATATATATTTCAGATGCCTTTTAAAGCACATCGTGACGTGCGGAATTATACAATATGATTGAACACATTTAACTGTGTCTTTGGTATATTTTTAGATGCAAGACATATGTAAAATCAAAAATTATTTCTGAGGGATTCTTTGACGAAGTACTTGAAATCATACGCGCACTCTGATTGGTTTGTCGTATTTTCGCACATAACATTCATCGAGAGGGGGACGAGTCTTCTTGCAGGTTACGGAAAGGGGCGAGTGCTGACGAATGGTCTCGGACGGTCGGGCAGGCAGGTATTTCGAACACTGGCAAAATACACTCCATCATCTTTAAGTGGCATTGAGATGTTGGCGTGAGGAACGAGGGAGATACAACAGCTACTTCTTACTATAATACATGCGACGTGCCAATATAGATACTAACACCCTTATCAAGCAAGTGATGTACAGAACTGTCAAAAAGCTTTCTACTTCACTTGTCCGTTCATCACTTGCTTGATAACGCCTAAACATCGCATTTATTGTAATAAAGTTGTATAGCAATAGAACTATCTTCGAAATATATTATGTCAACAAAAGTATTCCTTTCACGATTTTATTTACTACAATCTATGCTCTAAGACATTTCTTATTTTACATTTATTGTCTTACCTTAAACAACATCTAATCACAGCTATATTCTATGTCATTTTATTATTTATTAATGTTACTATTTCCAGGGAAGCATCGCACTTTGCATGTATGTTATATATTTCAAGGTTTAATATTTACACCACTGTCCGCTGTCACTGTTATGTTTATGGGAAGGGCGTTGTAAGTTGGACAACCTTTGCAAAATCCATTTGACCTTTTAATGTAAATAAAAATTTATTTTTTTTAAGATACAACTGTTCTCTCAACTGGTACCCGACGATATTATTAGTATGGCAAGGTTAGTCATGTTTACTTGATCATCACATCAGACACATATTTTTATTACATTAACATAACGATCAATCAGGACCAAACGTCAAAGTACGGTGGCCCATACCCACCACTGGTGAGATCATTTTTCACTGTATGCCTCTACATTTTTATCTGGCTCAATCTATCAAAGCTCAGTCTTACGGATACAATCTCCAGCCTGTCGATTGCCAGGGCACTGATCTGGACGTAATTCTAGTCACACGTAGTATGCCAATTTGAAACGAGTGAGTGAGTATGGTTTTACGCCGCTTTTAGCAATATTCCAGCAATATCACGACGGGGGACACCAGAAATGGGTTTCACACATTGTACCCATGTCGGGAATCGAACCCGGGTCTTCGGCGTGACGAGCGAACGCTTTAACTACTAGGCTACCCGACCGCCCCCAATTTAAAACGAAAAATATCTGGCAAAATATAGAGGCATACGGTGAAAAATGATCTCACCGTTGGAAATATGTGGCGGCCGCCAGATGAAATATAGAACCATACAGTGAAAAATGATCTTACCAGTGGCGGGTATGGGCCACCGTATCCACGAAACGTTTAGTACATGTGCACTTAAGAAGACAGGTCTCCAATCTTCTTTTACCAGGCATGGCCGTAGTTCACAATGTGTTAGTCGTAGCTCTCATGCATTAGTAATACTTGTTTATCGGTTGTTACGTACTTATAAGCGAAGTAAGGTAACTCTGTCCACAGCGTGAGCGCCTGTTTAGAAATCACTGTCAGTTAGTAATGATAGAAGGTGCGCGTGCACGGGAACATATGGCACACGTGAAAATAGGGAATTACATCGGACACCATTTCTGTCACTGATGCGTCAAATTTGGAAATGTCTTCAAGGTGTCTACCGTCAAACGTTTTGTGAGCATTGCCGAAGCCATGAATGTTGTAGCCCTGGTCAACAACACACAAATTACCAGGCGGAATTTGTATCTGAGGTGATTTAAAAGTCAACAACAGAACATAAAATCCTCACAAAAGATCTCCATCCCAAATTAACACCACAGAAACAAGGGAAAAGAGTAAAATGTTTCGAAATACTCATAACAAATTAAGAGTGGGTATGGTTTTACGCCGCTTTTAGCAATATTCCAGTAATTCCACGGCGGACAGATTAAGAATACGATCACGGTAACTTGTGTCACCTATATTTCACATTATACATCCATTCTCTTACCTACATATGACAAACGTTCCATCAGAACATGATTTAACTTTTCTCACAGATCACCAACATACTGGAGCTCCTCGCGGCTGTTTGGAGACGACGGGCGTGATCTGACACTGAGGCTGTGCCAGCTTATATCCTCACACACACAGACGATCTGTCAAAGCACTGCAATCAAGCCAATCGCCGTCAGGTCACCCTGTGTTTATAGCCGCTGGGCCGAGACATCCATCACCCGTCACATCAATAGGGACGCTGTCAGTTAACATAGCGTGGATGGCGTTTTGTTTTTACCTGTATTGGACCAGGTAGGAACCGCATTGTGTCTGAAGCGGTGTGATGTTAAGCTTGCCTCGGGGCTGGAGTAATTTACACCCAGGGGACGGGTATTAGTCCCTTCAGGGATACCCCGAAGGATGAACGTTACGTAACATGTGCCTCTAATTCTAAATGAGCGCGTTGGTCTTTAATACGTTCATTTGTTTATCTTGATTAATGGTCATTCATGGGATCGCTGAGAAAGTAATTTGTGGAAAGTTGCAAATGTATTTTGTATGCGTCCTAATAGCCAGCACCCCTCTTGCATGATAATTTAACCTCGACTGAGCATTATTATGAAAACAAGGCCTACATTTTGTCAATGTGTCAGCGTTCCCAGGTAAATAATGCAATTGATGGAAAGGCGATTTGATTAAACCACGCAACTGATACCATCTTGATGCTTATTAATAATAAACATAATTTAGCTTCATCTATGTCCCCCGTGTACGCTCTGTAACAGTCAGGTAATCGATGAGTATATTCAGGATATGCGGGTTCCCAGGGTAACGGGAAATCAGGTCCCACAATGGATATGGTATGACGTCACGGAAGGCCCCGTACAACGTTTACACGTATCAGTTGTTGTATGTTTATAATAAATTACTATAGACTGAACTGAACTGAACTCTTATTTACACTAAGGTCGCTGTATACACTTGTATACTTCTGTTGTAGATCATTAACATTTGTAATTCATAGCACTGCATCATCTGCATACAATAATACAAATATCGTGATAATATTTTCGATTCGATCATTGAATTCATCTGGTTTCAATTGGACACCTGTACTTGAATCATGTACGAGTGCCGCTTCGAGATTATTTAAAACTATTGTAAATAAGACAGGCGACAGGTTTTCTCCTTGTCTGACTCCACATTTACACGAAAATAAACTTGTAAACTTACCATTACATGATTTTATGCCGTTTTTAGCAATATTCCAGCAATGTCACTGAACACCAGAAATGGGCTTCACACATTGTACCCATGTCGGGAATCGAACCCGGGTCTTGATATTCTGTACATATTTCTCATAACGTGAAGACATTTTCCAAATATGTTACTTTGTAGTAAAAATTGCCCAAGTCCCGATCTTCAAACTGTAAAAACTGAAATATGATATGTTATGCGTGTGTATCCACTGTCAGCTTTAACTCAACTTCGTTAACTAGTGAGTGAGTTTGGTTTTACGCCGCTTTTAGCAATATTCCAGCAATATCACGGCGGGGGACACCAGAAATGGGCTTCACACATTGTACCCATGTCGGGATTCGAACCCGGGTCTTCGGCGTGACGAGCGAACGCTTTAACCACTAGGCTACCCGACCGCCCCACTTCGTTCACTATTTCTACTTAGTGTCAACGTGTGTACGAGGTTTAGTGATTTTGTTCATGTCCGGACCGATGGGGTAGCCTAGTGGTTAAAGAGTTCACTTTAGAAGCACAATTAGAAAAGATAAATAAAGTGTCAATGAAATAGCCTACTATGTGTACGTCTCAAAATCTTGTTCAACGTGTCTCCAAAAATCAGAAATTGTGACAAATCTTTGTATTCAACACTATACATGCAAAGGCGTCTTTGATAGACATTTCAATTAGAAGTTGGAAGAATACGAATACCTGCTACCTTTTATGTATGGCAAATACTGAAAGAAGTTGTTATCAATAAAAAAGTCAGGTATTAAGTATGTATACACATTATAACGAACACAATGTCTAAACGTGCAGGTTTGAGGCCTAAGGCTATACGCAATAAGGATCATTGTCACAAAGGGATTTCACACAGCACTTACCATAACTAATGCGGTCATGCGGCGATCCCTCGCATGCAAAGCGGAGTGTTTGGTCAGTCTTCCCTGACCCTTGTTGTTTGAGGGTTACACGAGTGACCAATTAAATGAGTTTTATCGGTCAGCCTTGACCTTTGAAGTTCGGATGATATGACCAATGAGAGAGGGCAATCAGTACGTGCTGGGCAAGAGGTACGATGGAGGACATGCAGTCTGTCAACTGCGGCCACGTATATCATGGATATATTAAACTAGGGAGTGAGTGAGTATGGTTTTACGCCGCTTTTAGCAATATTCCAGCAATATCACGGCGGGGCTAAATAAACTAGGCTTATAACGAACTCGAAGGGACAACTGATTTTAGTTCGATATAACCGTAGTTCGTTATAAGCATATATACAGCATGTATGCAGCTACTGTCCGGGACCAAAAATATGTTCGTTATATCCGCCAGTTCGTTATAAGGGTGTTCGTTATAAACGTAGTTTACTGTATATGGATAAAGTGACCTCATGTAGCTTCACATTTCATGACGAATCCCAATACTGTGTTTTCTGAATACATTAAATTGGCACAGTGAGTGTTTGGTTTAACAAATTTCGGTAATAACATGGCGTCTAAGTTTGATGTGGATCATAGTGGGAACTGACGCCGGTCTCTACTACTTTGGTGAAGCCCACGTTCATAGGTATGATGCGCCCAAACATAGGAGCCCCCGTGAAGATAGTAGAATAGGTCTTCAGCAACCCATGCTTGCCGTAAAAGGCGACAATGCTTGTCGTAAAAGGCGACTAACGGGATCGGGTGGTCTGGCTCGGTGGTCTGGCGGTAAACAACAAACAAACAAACATAGAAGCGTAGCCAGGCTCGGTCACGATAACACAGGCCTCCAAATGGCGTGATGACGACACAAACATCCACACAGAAACGTTGCATTGAAGGCATAAAGAGGCTGATATTCAGGTTAGCCCCCGTCTTCAGGGTTTATCGTATATAATTATGAGACTGATGACATGGGGTAATTGTTAAACTCAGTAATGCTACCTGCACATTCAATTAATTACAATCATACTACCACCACTACGACCACTATCACCGCTACCACTATCATTACTACTACTACTACTACCACCACCACTACGACCACTATCACCGCTACCACTACCATTACTACTACTACTACTACTACTACTACTACTACTACCACCACCACCACCACTACGACCACTATCACCGCTACCACTACCATCACTACTACTACTACTACTACTACTACCACCACCACCACCACTACGACCACTATCACCGCTACCACTACCATTACTACTCATGGGCGGATACAGCTTTTTTTAAAAGGGTGAGGGGAGTGTGTGTGTGTGTGTGTGGGGGGGGGGGGGGGGGGGGGGGGGGGGTGCACAATTAAGATTTATTTATTGTCTTTGGTGGTATTTAATAAAGAAATAAAGATTTTTTTCACCCCTCTGTATCCGCCCATGCTACTACTACTACTACTACTACTACTACTTCTACCACCACTCTACTACTACTACTACTACTGTCGCTATATGGCTGCGATAGTGCCGATGCGACGTTAAAATTTAACTCACTCACTCACTCACTTCTACTACTACTACTACTACTACTACTACTACTACTACTACTACTACTACTACTACTACTACAGAGGTCTTCAACAACACATGCTTGTCGTAAAAGGCGACTATGCTTCTGGTAAGAGGTGACTAACGGGATCGGGTGGTCAGGCTCGCTGACTTGGTTGATGCAGGTCATTATATATGTAATATGAAGCAGATGAAACGGCTGACTGGAACCACGGAATGTGCGCCTGTTCATTTGCATAACCCCGCCCAGGTTACGTGATGTCGCATAAACACCGCCGGAGCGGTCTCTTTGAGAGTGGCAATGATAATATGGGACACACGGAAGAATGCCAAATAGGTGTATACAATTCCACATCAGTAAAACGAATGCACTGCTGGTTGTGTATTGTTTACTGATGAGAGAACAGCACACCAACACGATTTAATTAACTTGCAAAATGACTTTCCCTTCGACTCTTCACCTGTTGAATCCTAGCAATGTGCGCGCGTCACCGCGTGACAGATGACTGCCCTGTCAACCCCAACCTTGACCTTGAGTGCATGCCCCGAGCATTCCGAGAACACCAGGAGTGTCACAGGGTCCCTATCTGTGCAGGCACGTGCTGAGTTGTTGTTTGTAATGCCACATGCTGACACATGGCGTTATTCGCATTATTGTATATTGTATACTAACTACACTGTCATATGTTTCAAGAGGACACATTTGCGTTACAACCATTTTAGTAGGCTCGATATAATGCCAGTGAGTACATTTACGTTAATGCCATTTTGATATACTCCATATAACGCCACATTGGCCAAAGGGGGTACATATGCGTTAAAACGATGTTCATGTATTCAATATAATGCCACCTGCATAAAGCAGAAGTTTTTTCATTAAAATCATTTTGAAAACATTATACCGGCGTTACATCTGCTTCGATACTATCCTTAACAATTTAAAGGATGGGTCTTGCAATACCTAACAGTCATGAAAGAATAACTATAGTTACATATGACATCGGCGTTCTGTAACTTCTTTTGAGTAGTACATGATTTCATCACATGTTACGAGGAAACCGGTGCGACAGAACCAGTGTCATATACATTTTATATGATGTCCTATATATATTTCCAACATGCGTCATAAGAAGATGACAAATCCCCCCGGCCCCCACAAATTCGAAAGAACAAGTCATATGAGTGAGTGAGTGAGTTGGGTTTAACGCCGCTTTTAACAGTATTCCAGTTATATCACGGCGTGTCAGCTTAATGTGGGAGGAAAGCCCGAAGTGATGCAAGTCTCAGACGTTTACCACTTCGGTGAAACCCACGAGCACGGTTATGGTGCTGACAAACCTAGAAACATAATCGGGGCGAACCGGGATTCGAACCCACAATCATAAGTTTCTGGCGTGCCCAAGGGACGCAACTCTGCAAAGCGAATTGCG